TTCTTCAGTGCTACATTAATAAATTGCCTTGTGACCTTCCACTTTCCTTTCCCACTGTCCTCTGGCCATTTCCCTGTTCCTCTGCTTCCAATTAAGACAGTGGTCATAGGGAATGGAAAGACATGACCCTGATGTGGGAAGACTGCTTCTCATTAAAGTTCAGTTTAAAAGATTTTGTGCAAAACATGTAGTCACAGCACCATTTACTGGCCATGAGGTTTCAAGTGTTTATTAGGTGATCTTAATTTTTACACCATCAATTCCTCAAGTACATCTGACTGTTTTAATGAGATGACTAATAAGAAATGTGTTTTCTTGGCAGAGCTTACAAAATTTCAAGCAAGTATACTATGAAGGGCCTTTTGGAAAGGGAATTGTTAATAAGATGTAATTTATCTACTGCTTTCCATCTCCAAATCCTTTCTTCCATCTTGCCTGTTTCCTTTCTACTCATCCACCCATATCTCATGCATCTGTTCCCATGGCAACTGGGCCAAGCTGACTAGGTTTTTACAAGAGTTTCTTGAATACAGGAAGCATGAGGGGAAAAAAATCTAATAGGAGGACTTTGAGTGTTAGATCTGAGGGAAAGGCAAGACTCTTCCATTACAATGGCTATATAGCCTGTTTTCTTGTAAGACTAACTTTTTGGATTTTTTGATATAGTTTATATCAGACCTATTTATGAGTAGGTATATTTTTTAGGGCCAAGTAAGTATACAGTTCAATGACAAATTTCACATTATTGATTCAAGAGATATTTATTGAATTTCCCCAAAGTAGATGACCCTATCCACATAGATTTAAGTGTAATTTCAAAAGAATATCATAACACAAAATGCTAGGGAGGGTTGAGGAAAGAGAGCAATAGAAGAGACTATTCTGACTAAAATTTAATATATGCATATGTAAGAAATGATGATAAAATGCTTGGGTGCAATTATACACTAAAAAGAAATGGATGACAAAAGAATTAAACAGAATTTTCTGGATAGTGTGTGTCAGCTAAAGGAGAGAAGGAGTAAATGTGATTTGTAAGCATGTATGAAAATAGGATGAGAAGTCTGTTTAGATGTTTTGAGAAGTGGGGAAGGGAAGAAAATGGAGACTGAGAGAGTGGGTGAAGCTGTTGGTGGTACATGGCATATATATCTAGAAATGTCACAATGACATAACCACAGCAGACTCTTTTACCCTGAGAGAAGCAGACCTATGGGAGATTTACTGAATAGGGCCTTCCCTATTCAGTAAGGTAGGGACAGTCCCATGTAAGTTTAGAGATGAAGGAATACTGCTCGCTGAAGCAAGGAATTTCAGATATTATTTAGTTTGGTAGAGTCTCAGCATGTGCCCCAGAGGTATATATAGTTACCACAGTTGAATTTACAGACTAAATATGCTTTGAAATAAAGCAGGTATGGACACTGTGTAAGAGTTAATGTCTGCTCACAGAGTCTATAATAGTAGCTATTTCCTATGACATTGCCTATAATATTCTTGCTAGGCTGTGTGGCTCATATGCTAGGCAAGTTGCAAGGCAGCTATGCTACCAGAAGGAAAATGCACACAGCTATGTATCAGATTCTTATCACTTCTAAGCCTACCACTTACTCGTGGCTTGTCTATAGACTCAGATCTAAGGGTTTTTGTTTGTTATTTTTATTTTTGCAAAAGCACAGATAATCAGCAGTGACATTTATATTCATTGTTTACAGGAGGAGGGTAAGAGAATGTTCTCTCATTGACATAAAAGCAAATGCAGTCTTCCATTTCTTTCAAAAGTCATCCTTTCTGATGTGAGAGTTGCTGCCTCACTAGCTTTTGAACAATTTTGGAAGTTGCAAGGATGGGAAGAGTGAGGTAAAATTCATCACAAGACCAAAGCAGGCTGGCTTCTGCATGGAAGTGAACATATGCTTTGTGATCAGCTTTTTGTGGTGACCCAAACTGTAACAATTGCTTTCTTAACCCATAACCATTGCATATTCATAAGATTACATTTTTGTGTTTAAAATTCAAGTTTGTTTTGTTTTGTTTTGCATTCCTGGGGCTTGAACTCAGGGCCTGGGTGCTGTCCCTGAGCTCTTTTGCTCAAGGCTAGTGCTCTACCATTTTAAGCCACAGCACCACTTCTGGTTTTTGGGTGATTAAGTGGAGATATGAGTCTCATGGGAACTTTTCTGCCTGGGCTGGCTTTGAACCACAATCCTCAGATCTCAGCCTCCTGAGTAGCTAGGATTACAGGCGTGAGCCACTGGCACCCAGCTGAAACTCATTAGTTTTACACCATGTTGTTTCTAGTCATAAGAGAACAAAACCAGTAACTTGAGATGAAACAACAGGAAGTTGTGATGGATCACATGTGAAAATCTCGTTCATCTGTTTTATTTCTTTCTGTGAAGGAAAATATTTATCCGTGGAATCATAAATGAAAATTCAAAAACAGCTAGAGAACTTCAGCAATATGAAAATGATGCAGGATGGGTTTGAAACGTCTATCTTTTACTAATTCTTCAAATATCCCGGGAATACCTTTTCCATAACCACAGCAGCCTCTTCCATCCTGAAGTGCTTGGATGTAGAGCAGAATGGTATCCTCACCACAGGGACTAACTACTCTGACAGAATAAAGACCTATGGAAGGTTTAGTGAATCAGGGCAGACCCCTCTAAGCAAGAGGTCAGCAAAGGCTAGCCAAATACCCACCTACATTTGCTTTTCTAGAGTTCACTAGAACACAGCTCCACCTCTTTATGTGTTTTTGCTGTTTCTTCCTCTTCCTTAACACTAAAGAGACAGAGTTCAACAGTGTTGAGTAGTGGCAGCTGATTCTTCTATTTACTCTGTTTACTGCACTATGACCTAATCCTTGGCAGAACAAAAAGATCGGTTTACATAATTTCAACTCTATATTAAGCTGTATTTAAAGATCACAGATAAAGATAGAATGGGGGGTAGCCAGTGTCATTTATTGAAACACTATATTAGCTGTATAGGGTGTCAAGTGGAAGTAGACTACACACATTCACTTTTTTATACTTTGGTATTCACTTCAACAGTGCCAAGAGGAATGGCCAACACTGGTTGAGAATCAACATATTCTGGACATTGTCAGAAATTTTCTATAAAATAGGCATTTGAATTCGTTAAACCAATGGAACTTAAGCTGGTTCGGAAAGAAAGTGGTAGGCAAAAACAAGTCAATCAAAGGCACACCAAAGGTATGGACTTTACGATCCTACACACTGGAGGGTCAGCTGAATCCAGGGCAGCTGGATCCAGCATAGACAACTGATGCTCATTAGCGTCCAGAGGCTGTTAAATGTAGTCTTCCAGCTTGAAACGCAATTTCCCCACCGTGCAAGGTCAGAAGTGAATGCCTTTGGAGATATGCATTATAGGTCTATGTGCACTGTAAAGGGAGAATAAAATGGAGCAAGGCAGAAACACGCCCAGGCTTATCCAATGTATTAATGCAATTTGTGGTAATTATCATTTCTGTAAGTGGTAACTTAAAATTTATAAACTTTCAGAGTGAGAATGATTACAGACTTAATAAGCTTTCAAGAGTTACACTTCTAGAACAGAAACACAAGAACAGTAAGTGACTGAATTGGTAGAAAAACTAGAATTGGTATACTAATCATTTCAGTGCCAGCCAAGGCACTTTCTCTATCTCTGTCTCTGCTTCCCTGCCTGTCTTTCTATCTCTGCCTGTCTCTGATTCTTTATCTCTGTCTCTCTCTGTCTTTCTTTCTGTGTCTCTCTCCATTGCTCTCTCTCACCAAAGTATGTTACCTAGCTTATGTTCTCATTCTGTGTGCCTGAGAATGTAAACTTGACATTGTTGCCATGTTCGTGGGTTACAATCAACACATCTGTCTTCTTTGAAATTGATGGTAAATATTCAATCTAATGTGTTTATTCTTTCACAAACTTATATATATTTTTGTATTCCTTTCATTTGAGATATATGCTTTTTCAAGACGGTGCTCTTTACAGGCCTGACTGTAAATTCAGTTTTGGCTGTCAGCAATGCCTCCAACTGCTTTCTAGTTGGGCTTTGTGTTCTTTGACTTTGAATCCATTCTCTCTCAAGGAACAGTAATCTGTAATCTTGGTAGATATCTACCCTCCCTTGTATAGCAGAAATCCAGGTAGGGTGCTTGTGAAAATAAAGAGAGAAAAATATGGAAATGATAGAGTAAGCCAAACAGTTAGAAAATAAAGCTTTGTCTAAAAAGAAAAGACCAAAGGATAAGGACCTAAAATAGCTCTGGCAAAACTTGTGCTCATTCTATTCCTTTTGGGGTAGGAGGTACAGGGTGAAAGGAAAGAGGCTTCACTGGTCAGAGGCTTCTCCCTGTGATCATCCCCCATCTGCCCATCCATGCTGCTTTGGGTCGCAGTACCCCTCCTGCCTTTTCTCATCCAAAGTACTAAAGCCCATTATAAATCTCTTGGTTCTAAACTCAAGTCATCTACAGCATTAGTACCATAATGAGGAGTCTCACTTTTAGCAACACATTCATATCCAGGTGTCTAGGTAACCTTTGCCCTCTGACCTCAAACCTGATGTTCATCTTCACACCTCCTTTTATTATATCCAGAAGTCCACTTTTGCTGGCTGAGCAGGTCACCTCTAGAGGCTACACAGTATCTCAGGTTAGCTGAATGAAACAGGTGTGAAACGTTGTCTACTCTGGATCTCTGACACCAGGTTAAGCTGCGCTCTGATCACTTGTAGCATCAAGCACTATCTCTATATGCATGGTTCAATTAGCATAGCAAAACACCTAAATGTCAGGGTTTTCCATTATGTCCTAGAACCAGAGTAGGGATGTATAAAGAGGCCTCACACAGTGTTACCTTAGCAGGCTACATGGGGTATAGGACCAGAAAAATTCATACAGATACCAGAATCCACATTGCTTCTCAGACTACTTTCTTTTCTAAAGTTCTCTTAGTAAATATATCTTTCTGAAGTTGTCCTCACTTACCTGTTGATGCTGTTTTTCTGTGCTAACATCTGCCAGTCCTTGCCTTTGGCATTGGGGGTATCAAATGTAGCACAAATCCGCTGTCGGATAGAGTAGGGAATTTTGAAGGCTTTGGGGCCAGTCTGTGCAGGAAATACGCTATCCTCTTGTGCAAAGAAAGTGATGGTTTCTCGCTCACTCTAAAAACAAAATAAACAAAGCCTGATCAGATCAAGTGAAAAGTATCATGGATATTTTTGTTTCTGAAAAATCTGGGTTAACATGCATTCACAAAATGCCTGTCTGTTGTGATGGCCTCTATAAAATACATTGACAAGCTCCTGACCCTTCTGAAAAGTAAAGAACTTCTCTAGTAGCCTCTTAAATCGTATTGTATCCTGGAGAATTATAATAGCCTTTCCCACTCAGAGAAGTCACTGATTCTTCGCCCATCCGAAGAGCTGTCAGGAAAGAACAGAATTAGATGATCCTCCTTCTCCTCCTCCTCCTCCTTCTCCTCCTCTTGATCCTCCTCTTCTTCCTCCTCCTCCTCTTCTTCCTCCTCCTCCTCTTCCTCCTCCTCCTCATCCTTCTCCTCTCCTTCCTCCTCCTTCTCCTTCTTCTTTTATTTTAGGCTCTCGGGGATAGGTGTAGAATTAGCAGGAAGAAGCTACCAAATGACAGATTTGAGTTCTATATGAGGAATTACCCTCTGATGGGCATTAAGACCAAAGATGAATGTGCTAACCAGAGAAGCAGGCTGGGATACAACTGGTCATCAAAGGTACCCATAGAAGTTGCTTGTAAGTGAATCACAGAAAAGTGTGTTGTGCACTCAAGTCTTAACCTTATATGATTCTATGGTAAATATCTTAGTTTTGGAGTTAGATTCTTTTGGTGAAACAGAGCCAGCCATGTGTTATAGACATCTTGACCAGTTTTGTGACCTGGCAGGCTGGAAGGGTCTTTCTTGCTCCTGCTCATATTGTTTCTAATTTGAAACTGTCTAGTAAGGATCTTTTATTTCAGTACATAATTGCAATTAGCTGGCCATGTCAAAAATGAAATGACACAGAAATCTGTCAGACTGCAATAGTTGTTTCTATGGATTCACAGAATTTTAAGGACTGAAAAATATTTGCTTGCATTGCACCCATGATTATTATGTGTAATAAAAGAAGAAAAGATTCTGCTGAAGTAATTAAAATTGCTTAATCTGTTGGCTTTAAATTAATTAAGAGGGATTTTCCTGGGTGACTCTGTACTAATCAGGTGGCTCTGAAGAGTTGAAGGAGAAAACCGTTGTCCGGAGGCATTGCTATGGCTCTCAGGCAGTACTTGGAATGGAAAGCAGTGTCCTAGCTTATGAAGCAAGCACTCTACAAGGGAGCTACATCCCAGCCCTAGAGCTGTCTCTTCTGTCAGCCTAGAAGAAAACAAATAGCGGTGTTGAGAATTCTCTCAGAGAGGGTACATGGTGAAGAGGTGAGAAAGACCCCTAGCCTATAGCAATTAAGATAAGGATTTCCAGGAAGAATGATATTGCCCCACTTGTTAGGAAATGGAAATACTTGGAAAAATTATATTAAGTGAAGTAAGCCAGGACCCAAGAAACATAGGTCCCATGGTTTCCCTTATTTGCAATATCTAGTATATGACCGAGTCAAGCAGAAAAGGTCAGATAAGTTGATGTTAGGGAAATGAACCCCAAGATATGTATTCAAATGTTATTTTCTTTCATGCGATTGTTTCTAACACATTTATAAGACGATTTCTTTGTTGCTTTGTATGTCCCTCCCCCATGGTATAACCCCTGCTTTCACTGTATTTGATGTCGGTATAGTTTGTGGAGGGGAAGGGAAAAAAAGAATCATTTAAATAGGGATACAGGTGGACCCATTGCAACAATGAGATGTACAAGTCGTTATGTTGAAAATGAACTTTACAACTTTGGTGGGGGGGCGGAGGGTGGGGGGGAGGGGGTAGGATTGGGAAGGGAGAGATGGGAAGGGGTGGGAAGGGGAAACAAAGGAGGAGGCTACAGTGTTTGATAAGAAATGTACTCATTATCTTGCTCATGTAATTGTAACCACTCTGAATAGCATTTTCACAATAAAAAAAAAAGATAAGGACTTATAACCTACAGCTCTAAAAACTGAATTGCGTAAGCAACATGAACAAGCTTGAATTATCAGCTCCAGATGAGAACATATCCATAAGCAACACTTTGACGTCAGCCTGAGGGAACTCAGTTTAACTACAGTTAATGTTCTGGACTATTGAACACTGAGACAATGAATGGGTTTTTATCTATCTCAACTAAACTTGTATTGCCTCTTATCAGGTTGTCATCTATTACTGGTTTCAGATCTGGTCCCTGTACGTTACAGAACAATACTCATAAAAATTCTTCCACTGTTTGCAAGTAATACAATTTAATCGCAGAATAATGCCTGTGCGAACCAGAAAGATAGCTTTGGAGTAAGATTGCACATCCTCTCATTTTTTTACTCTGGTTGACTCAGTTTCCCATTCAGTCTTGTGAAACTTGTATAGACTCAACAAAGATTTGGAAAGTTGGAAAAGTCACCCAGTTCAGGACGTAAGTGAAACTGAAATTCTGAGATCCTGGTAATGGCTACCGTAGTCATTTTATTAATTCAAAACAAGTATAGAATACACAGAGTTAGGTGGTTAAGAAGAATATGGACTTCAGGAATTTATTGAAGGAAAGGCTTCATGGAGGAAGCATTTGAGCTGGCCTTGAAGGACCATATGCATTGATTGAATTGATTTGGGGTGGACAGGTACTTATTCAAGGCAGAGTGGACAGTTCTGTTCTGATATATTGGGTGGTTATAAAATAAACCAACTTATCTTCTTACTGCATAAAATAGGTTACAAGATACATCTTTTTTTTATCATGGTCTGTAAAATTTCTCTTACCCTCTAAAAATGCAAATCAAGTAGGAATAGCTTCCTTAGATATTTTCTGACAGAGGAGAGAAAGAGAGAGAGTGAATTTATGCAAAAGAACATGGTAGCTGTGACTATAAAATGGGCGTTACCGTGGGAAAAGATGGCTTGAAATTAAAACACAAAGGTTCCCCTGGAAGACTCAGACTTGGCTTGTGGAAGCTTTCCCTGCACCTGTGAACAATCTACGAGGCTTTGTCTTTACTATTGTTAGAAGAAAGACCACCATGATGCATAAAACAAAGTGGGAGAAAGAGTCTTTCTTTGAAGGTGAATATGAGAGTGAGTTTGAAAATTAGTATGTGTTTTTACTCACTACATTTTTAAGAAATAGACCTCATTCCTCTTCAAGTTTCCAAAATTAAACATTTACCACATATAAGGAGGATACTTTATATAACATTTACAATGCATTCTAAAAGACATCTGGGCCAAGTAATAAGGATTCTGTAGATACATCACACTTTCTGATTGTTTAATTTAAATATGCATAGGAACAGTAGATTTTTATGTTCTGCACATCTGAGATAAGTAACTGCTACCTGGTTAGCTTAGGGAGTTGTAAATCAATGGGAGATTCCAGGTATTCTATTTTTATAACAGACAAATTATCCCCCAACATTCATATTCTTTTGGAGCAAAGATAAAAGAATTGCTTGAAGGGAAAATTGTGACATGCAAGATTCCCATTTAAATCATTTCAACCTAGAAAAAAAAAACTTTACTATTTTTTTCATGAGGAAAGATGAAATAAGTTACTTGAGGTACTTCCCCTTCCTCAGTATGAGCAAAAATGTTTTCTTTCAGTCTATACTTTTTAGAAAAGTAAATACTGTTTCTTCATGGAGCATTAATTGTCCCTCATCAGATGATGCAACAGGGTTAAACTGAATGGAAACTGTTTGTAAAGATTAACACAACAGCCAGACACTGGTGGCTCACACCTGTAATCCTAGCTACTCAGGATCATGGTTCAAAGCCAGCCGGGGCAGGAAAGTCTGTGAGACTCTTATCTCCTATTAACCACCAGAAAACCAGAAGTGGTGCTGTGGCTTAAGTGGTAGAGCACTAGTCTTCAGCTGAAGAGCTTAGGGACAGTACCCAAGCCCAGAGTTCAAGCCCCACAATTTTTTTTTTTTTTTGGTCAATTGTCAAAAAAAAAAAAAAAAGATGAACACAAGACTGGCTACCTTACAAAGCCAAAAGATAATGTCTTTGTAGTAACAAAAATAAGTTTTATGTTTTTGAATGATGATAGAGGTGATGCTGAACATGAAAGAATCAATGCTTTTAGTGAGGGTGATCATTGTTTTGATGAGAACATTTATACATATGTACACACACTTACCTCTCTTATGGTTTTACTATTAAATACAGGAAATCATGGTGGTAAGACAGTCCATTCAAACAAGATAAGAAATGTTTTTTTTTTTTTTACCCTAACTGCAGACCACAGAGTTGGTATTAAAACAAATGAAAGTTTCTATTGAAAGCATCAAAGTTTTATTTTTACAAAAGCATTTTTGTGACTAATTTTAGTCAACAAAACTCTAATTACTAGCCTACTAAAACAACCTAAATTCAGATGGTTTTTTTTTGTACTCAGGACCAAGAATATGATACTGCTTTGAAACTGATCCATGCCTCCCAACTAATATAAATTTATGCGTGGAATTTCACATTCCTTCTTCCCAAATAATCATTCAAGCAGGACACCTAATTAAACATAGGGTGGGCGGGTCACATGTAGGATATCTATCCCATTCTTGAAGACCTACAGAATGAAAATTGTTGTAGTCCATCACACAAATGGCTACAGCCCATCTTTCCTTCTTTGGAAGAAAGAAGTTTTCAGTCTCATATTACTCTTTTAGATTCTCAAAGACAATGTTTCTGGTGCTGAGATGTTTGGCATACTGCCTGGGTTCCCAAAGTGAAAACATCTCCACAGTGAGAGCCCACAGTGAAGGCTAGTAATCCAGACTGCCTTATTTGGACCTTCAAAATTGATCTATGATTCCTAACTCACTGTATGATGTAGACTGATGATTAGTTTGGAATCTTGAAGTGATGTAGAATGTAAATTCAGACTTTGATCTTAAAGTCAGCTCTCTCAGTTTGTAATCTGGCTTTTATCTTATTAGCTAATGACCTTGACCAAGAATGTTGGCATCATTGAGATTTTTATATCCTGTATCATTGGGACAGTAATACTTAATCTACAAGGTAGTGACAGTTATATGATAAATGTGAAGGCAAATGAAACAGTATCCAAAATATAGTGGCTTTCAAAAGTTATGTGTTTTCTTGTGACATAGAAATGTTAACAAATCAGACTTGTCTAAGATGTTCTGGGAGATGCATGGCACTGGGTCAAATTCCCTCAGCTATACTTGAGGCAATTAATAAAGTGGTCTTTGGCAGTACCAAAGGGCTAAGAAAGCTCCCAAAAGCAATAGTCTACAAACCAATGACTACAGCCAATAAGAATATCTGAATATTGTTCTGATAATTGCTTATCATTTTCAAAAGGTACTGTGATGTCATCTTTTCATGACCTTTCAAAATGACTGTAAATGTGTAAAACATTAGAAAGACCAAGAAGTAGGATAGTGTTTCCTACATAATTTTCCCTAGATGAACTTCAAGAATTTATTTAATCAAGAACAAAGGTATTATAGTCTACCATCATTATCAAATTTTTGTGTGCTGCTCATGGGGCTTGGCACTGTCCCTGAGCTTTGTTGCTCAAAGATAGCACTCTACTACTTGAGGTACAGTTCCACTACCAGCATTTTTGATACTTAACTGGAGACAAGAGTCTAATGGTCTTTCTTGCCTCGGCTGGCTTTGAAATGCCATCCTTAGCCTCCTTAAAATCTAGGATGACAGGCCTGAGCCACTGGCTCCCAGCTATTATTTTGCCCAAAGCTGGTCTTCTACCACTTGAGCCAAAGTTCTACTTCTGACTTTTTGCTGGTAAGTTGGATGTAAGAGTCTTTCAGATTTGTCTGCCCAAGCTGGTTTCAAATTGTGATGCTCAGAGCTCAGTCTGGAGTAGCTAGGATTACAAGCATGAGCTACAAGTGCTCAGCTGATTATTTGTAATATTTAATACATTATAAATGCTATGAAAGTGGCTGTTATATGGTATTGCTTAGGGAATAATGATAGGAAAAAAGTATATAGATGTTCAGGACACATACAATATTTCTCCCAGATATTTTCCAAAGATGTCCAGATAAATCTGTGAATACAGATTCAAAAGTTTCTGGGTCAGCAATCCCACTTTTGGGCATTTACCCTAATGTTTACAAAAAAGACCACACTAAAGCTACCAGCACAACTATGTCTATTGCAGCATTATTTACCATAGCTAAGATATGGAACCAACCCAGATGCCCCTCAGTAGATGAATGGATCAAGAAAATGTGGTATATATACACAATGGAATTCTATGCCTCCATCAGAAAGAATGACATTGCCCCATTTGTTAGGAAATGGAAAGGCTTGGAAAAAATTATATTAAGTGAAGTAAGCCAGGCCCAAAGAAACATAGGTCCCATGGTTTCCCTTATTTGCAATATCTAGTATAGGTATGAGTCAAGCGGAAAAAGTCAGATAATGTGATGTTAGGAAAACGAACCCTTAAATATGTATTTTAATGTTTTTGTTTCTTTCATGCATGTGTTTCTAATGAATTTATAAGATTATTTCTTTGTTGCTTTGTATGTCCCTCCCCCACAGTGTAACCCCTGCTTTCACTATATTTGATGTCAGTATAACATGTGGAGGAGACAGGGGCAAACAAGTCGTTTAAGGATTCAGGTGGACCTGTTGCAACAATGAGAAGTACAAAATGTCATGTCAAAACCAGCTTTACAATGTTGGAGTGGGGGGGGGGAGGGGGGGGGGTTGATTGGGTAGGGGGGAGAGGGGAGGGTGGGAAGGGAGGTGAAGGGTAAACAAAGGAGGAGGCTGCAATGCTTGGTAAGAAATGTGTGCATTATCCTGCCCATGTAATTGTAACCCTCTGTACAGTATGTTCTCAAATAAAATAAAATTAAAAAAAAAAAAAAGAAAGAAAGGAAGGAAGGAAGGAAAGACGGAAAGGAAGGAAGGAAGGAAAGAAAGGAAGGAAGAAAGGAAGGTAGACAGAAGTGAAAAAGAAAACAAGAAAAAAGCCTTTTATTACAAGAAATGTCAAGCACATGTATAAACAAAGAAAAAAGGAACAATAAAATTTTATTTGTCCATTAAAAAAAAAAACAAAAAAAAACAAAAGTTTCTGGGTCAGGGCTGGGAAGGTGGCTCAGTGGTAGAGCGCTTGCCTTGCATGCATGAAGCCCTGGGTTCGATTCCTCAGCACCACATAAGCAAAAAAAAAAAATAGCCGGAAGTGGCGCTGTGGCTCAAGTGGTAGAGCGCTAGCCTTGAGCTGAAGAGCTGAGGGACAGCGCCCAGGCCCAGAGTTCAGGCCCCACGACTGGACCCCCCCCCCAAAAAAAAAGTTTCTGGGTCACTGATTTATTATACTAAAGCATCTAGGTTTAAGAGAAATATGACTATACAGAAGTCAGAACCTGGAAAACGTGAGATAGTGAGAAGAAGATGAATTTCCTATACTCCAATGATAACACACACACACACACACACACACACACACACACACACACCCCACATATATAGTAACTGACTTCTAAATCACTGGTCAGAAGCACTCAGAAAACAGCTCTGTAGACACCTTATGGCATGTGTCTCAAGACCCTCTTGATTGCACCTGTAATGCATCTCAGCAAGTGTCCCCAGTTTACTGTGGTCCTCCACAGGGCCTAGACTCTCTGGTGGATTGAATTTCCCTGCCCAGTGGGAAGCTCATTTGAATCCTAAACCTGAGACGATTCTTTCCTCTTCTCAGTAATAAGAATGAAAACGAGCTTGTGCATTTATTTTGAAGCTTTTTTCCACACCTGACTGCAAGGCTGAGTTTTTCTTCTTACTGTCCCTCTGGAAGGGACTCAAAAGACGTGTATCTCAAGAACTCACCTCTAGGATGGATGTCTGCACTTGGAGGATCTGTTCATGGCCTTTGAGCTGGCGGATGCAGATTTTGCAGGACAGCTGGGTGGTGGTGGGCGTGTAGCGCTCCAGGGAGAAGGCACAGTGCAAGGGTTGCCGGTTGCTGCTCCACACACGGGAGAAAGGGACTTCCTGCAGGGGAGAAGGAAAGGGGGAAAGGGATGTGATGTGTGGAGCCTGAATGCCATGGGCAGAGGCCAGGACTTAATCACAATGATCACGATCAAGATGACGAGGTTCGCAGCAGAGATAATTGCCTAAGTGACTTTGGTGGAATTGTTGTAGAAATAATGTTCCTGCAGATGCTGAGCAATACAGAAGTAATTCATGTCAATTCCAACATCTGAATTCCAACATCACACGGCAAGAGGTCAGATTTCACTTGGTGACACACACAATAGGAGAGAATACTATCAAAAACTAATCACTTTTTCACTAAGAATTATTTCCTCTCGGAAGACTCCCATACTCCCTCCATCTCCTTAAGAATGGGCTAGGAATATATCTTCTCATTTAAATGAAAATTGTGCTGAGACACTGACTGACTTGAACATATTACCCATACCATTGACTCCTTGTGGTACAGTGTGGGGATACATAAGGCCAACGCATCCAGGTATAAGAATTAAGAGCTACTACAAAATAACAGAGCTATACCTCCCAGAGACAAACATTTACAGTGGACAACAACAGGGTGATATAGTGTTCCTATTCCATACTTGTTCAATTCATCCTTTGCACTAAGGTCCACAGACAGGTCACTATATGAAATAAACAAGAAATAATAATACAGCTTGGTTGTCGTTCTCAAGAGACTTCTAGGTTTTACTAAGTGAGCAGGGAAATGATTCCTTCTTAATTTGTGCTGGTGCACAAATTTGCACAGCAAATGGGACTGTGTTCAGGCATGGAACTTTCCAATATGTCCTTGATACGTTGTCATGCACTAAAAACATCTCTCCTTCCTACTCAGATGCAGCACAAGTCCTTGGCAATGACCGATGTGTACCCAGCCCCTAGTGATCCTCATTCTCACATTTTTTTCCTGTTTCTCATCTCATTAATTTGCTCCTTTATCTGTTGCTAAAAATATAATTTTCTTCCATACTATAGCTGAAGGTGGCAAAAGATGTATAAAGTCTGGAAGGTTAGAACTCTAAAGTGTCACTGGTGCTGAAGCTGGCAGGTGTTAAAGACCAACAGGCATGATTAAAATTATTCACTTTAACTAACTATGAGTGACCTACTTATTTTGGAGCTCTAATATTCCCACTTGTTTATATAATTTGTCTTCTAATTTTTCTCTACAAGAAGTCTTGTGGATTCCGATTTGGAGTACTTCCTGGAAGAACAAGAGGGAAGGATGGATTTTAGATGGAAGTACAATTAGGGAGTTGGCTTTAGGGAGCATGAGAGAACAAATTCAAGCATTCAGCCTTACCACACACCTGAATAATGGACAAAATCCCCTGTGGGGATTTTGTTGCCACTTGTTAATCCTGAGCCTAAAGAAAAGTGAGAAGTGTTGCCTGGGGGAGCAGACAAGGATGAGTACACAGTACACGTGTGATACCTTACAGCATTTCATTGATACTCTCCTGTGGAGAAGGTAGGCTATTAGCCTGCATCAGTATCCTTACTATTTCCAGTTCTTTCCTATGAGACGAGGGTTAGATGTGTAAGAACTACATTTGGATTCCCATATTTAGCAAGGAGTTCAAATTTCCATTCTGCTCAGACGAGTCACTCAGGCTAGACTTAGAAAGGAGAACCTGCAGACGCGATCAGGGATCCTCCGCCACCCCCAACATCAGATGTCAGGCCTAAGTCTACAGCTAGTAGCACAGGGAGGACTTCAGGGTATCTCAATATCCCCCAGGGAATCCTCTGTTTCCATGCTCTGTGGTTTCCTGAAATTCCTCAACTTATTGCCATTCTACCGTCCCTAGTGGCTTCCTCTAGCCTGATTCTCAGAACTTGTCAAAGGTTTTATAAACATTTTAGTTTCCCGACTACATTATCTTCTTTGCTGAAATATCTTGAATGTTTTCTGTATTTTTTGACCAAAACGATTTTCTGACCAAACACGAGTGGATTTTAAGGGGTTCTCTTCAAAGCTGTCACTGGTAGACCCACAAGGGAAGTGATCAACCAGAAACAATGCTAATGGGACATTGGGCTAAGGGTTACAGAAGAAGCTTTATGCTGGAGCACAATTTGTCTATATGGACACAAGATAGTGTAAGTCCATTTAATGTTTTGTTTATTCTCACTTCACACACATACACACAAATACACACTTCCACTTTCTTTCAGTGTAGGCAGTTTTACCTCTCTTTGCCCGTCTGTTCACACCAGCAGAGAATGCTACTGATCTACACTGCTTCCTAGTAACCCCTAGAGAAATAATTTTTACTTAAACCTCTCAAAAATGATTTTCACTTGTGCATACTCCACTAAAAGTTCTGCTATTTCTCTTTCTTGTTGGTTCCCGCTTTTCTCCCATTTTACAATCCATGAGTAACTTTTTAGTTTATATCTCAGTCTCCTCTTCTCTCTGCTATTGAATGCTTCAAAGTCCCAATTGCCCACACATGGATCACCTGCCATCTCTACAAGGGCCTAATAACTAATATCTGATAATTATCAATCTTTTGCACTTGACTCTCAAGCAATATGAATACTTCTATTTGGATTTTATCTGTAACTTTACTTTTTGAAAACAAGATATAGCCATCTGTCTGATGTCTTTTGTCATTTACTCCAGCTTTTTTATCTCCATTATACCTCATTACAGCTAGTTAAAATAAGCTACTCTATTAGACAGAGCTTATGGGTGGGGTGGGTTGCAATAGGAGAAGAAAATGGAAAGCATTGATTGGTAGTTTCCAGGGGATAGAGCATTATGGTTGCCTTTTTAAAACTCTCATCACCTGTGGGAGACAATGATGTCATCAAATTACCTAGCAGGACCTTAGCTGTCATCACAAGGTCAGTGGCTTTTTGGTTCCTGTCACCTACCTGACACTCCAGGGCCCCCATAAACTGTTGTTCTTTCTTTTTAGTCCTTTTTTTTTTTCTGTCAGTTGTGGAGCTTGAACTCTGGGCCTGGGCACTGTCCTGGAGCTCTTTGAGGAGTTCTCAAGGCTAGCACTCTACCACTTGAGCCACAGCGACACATCTGGTTTTCTGGTGGTTAATTGGACTTTCCTGCTGGCTTGGAACTGGGATCCTCAACCTCCTGAATAGCTACACGTGTGAAACACTGGAACCCAGCTCTTGTTAGTTCTTAAAGGAACAATTTTCTTCAAATCAATTGATTTTTATACTGCTACTTTGAACCATTTATTTTCATAGAAAATACCCATAATATAGCAGCTATTTTGGGCTAACCAAGGAGGCGTTTGTTTTCTAAAAATGAAATTTAAGTCATTATAGTTTAACAGTATAAATACTTGGGTCTTAGGGCTACAGAAAGCCTAGGTCAAGGCCCAACTCTTAAGCCAGTTTGTCTTCTACACTGGATTTAATCCCTCGGTGATAGTTACCTTTGCTAAAAATAAAGAGCACTTATCATTTATTTGAAAGTGTCGTCTAGATACCACATGATATATTTTTTTCCTAAAAATACTGGAAGAAAGGTAAGAGAGTAATGCCCACTGAAGAGATCATCTTTCTTTGCACAAAGCCATGAAACTAAGCATTAAAAAAATCCTATCGTTGGGTGGGGGGAGGGAGGGAGGCTGGGAAGGGAGGTGAAGGGTAAACAAAGGAGGAGGCTGCAATGCTTGGTAAGAAATGTATGCATTATCCTGCCCATGTAATTGTAACCCCTCTGTACAGTATGTTCTCAAATAAAATAAAATAAAATTAAAAAAAAAAAATCCTATCGTCTGTCTTCCATGCCACGACACAAATTAAACCTTTCTTTTTTAAAATCTGAATTTAAGAGACTACCCAAGGAAGTTTTTTATTGTTGACTTGAGTTACAGCTGTCAATAGTGCTCAATAAAACATTTAAAAAGTAAAAGAATTAGAAGCACCCCAATTAGTCTGTTTTCAGGGCAATTATCTTTGCTTTCATTTCTCAATAAATAAAAAAGGTAAACAAAAAAAGGGAAAACATGCCCTACCCCAATAAAACAAAAACAGAATCACCCAAGATGCTCACTGAGCTGAGAGGAATGATACAACATGCAATATGGAGGGCAAAGTATAGCAAAGTTATGGGTGTTTAAAGAATTCCGGAAATGTTTTCATTTTGATTTCCATGATAATTAGGTTCCTAGCAGATGGAGAGAATGTAAATCATATCATAGCAGGAGACAGACACTGTTTCTCCAAGATTCATAGCATGCTGAAGAGACAGCTGCTTTTATCCTAGGGACGTGACAACCTGACTCTGTGTCTTGTTGGATGTAAAAATAAATAATCAATCGTATACTGCTTATGACAGCAGACAAACCGTGAGGAAGTAGCTCTGATGTCCCAGTAACCTGCCAAGAGCAGAACTATTTATGTACCTCCCAGAGCAGAATTATTAATTCTACATAGGGGCAAAGGATGGGACAAGTAAACAAACAAAGTATATCTGTGATTGTGGAAGAGCCTAAAAGCTTGGGAAGGAAATGCAGAATGATGAATTATTTGCACTGGACCTCAATTTTTATTTGAACCAAGGTCATTGAGGGCTACTGCACCCAGATCGCTGAAAACCCTCCATAACCTCTCCTTGCACACATCCATCATACCTAGTTTCTTGATCAATTAAGGGCAGGTGAGTGACATTCCATAAACAAATGCTCCCTAACCTAAACCAGGATGATTTAGAATCTGGGTAGTCCTTCTAGACATAGGTCTTCATTACCTTGCTCAGGATTGCTCTAAAAACAAGTCTCCAAAGTTTGTTGGTATTTGTAGGCAAACATTCTAGGCCCTAGGTACCTTCTTGGTCTCTTCTTTCCTTGGAAATTTGAACATTCCCAAAAGCAAACAGAAGAGTATCTTGAAAGAGGAGGGGTTAGTGTCCACTGCAATATGTCAATTCCTAGATTCCTGATTTTGAGTTAGAGATAAGAAAAGAAGACAATAATGACATTCAAAGTTTTCCATGTATTGAGGAGGAAGAGATAGGAAAGTTAACCAGTTGAAGGAAAGCTCTCCACATGGTATCAGGAATTGTCAGAACATCAGTCTCAATCATCTCTCTGGGATGACATAAAGGAAGCCCTGTTTGTTGCTAACCAGTAAAACCTAATGAAAACTCACCTCTGTTATCCACATCAAATCTGCAAGAGCAGATTCAAGGTTCAAGCAGTCTGAACACAAACCCTCCCAAAGTTCTTCCATTTAATGCTGGAGCCAAACAACATGGCCTTATGTTAAACACAACAGGTATCCGCACAAGCTCAGGGTTTTCGGTGGAAAAGGGGCAAGGAAAGTGTTGAAAGGGGAGGTAAAGAGGAAGGACAAATCAAACACAAAGCTATTTGGATTAAGAAAAATGGAGTGAAAATGAAAACTCAGTAGCAAGCCTCCCGATGCAGAGAAAATTAAATTGTTCCCCAGCCTACCAAGACTCTTTCAAATATGCTCAATTACAAAAGGCAAATATTTATACATGTTCACAACCTCCATGCATCCAAGCCATCCCAGCAGTAACGCTTGCTGGGATTCCTTGTGAGCCAAGGCCCTTGGCTTTGGCTGGTCGAGTGCATCCTCTGAGGTCAGCAGGCACTTAGCTCCCTCAGCTTCTTCTGCCTAGGGCTCTCTTTGGTATCCCTGGTATTGGAATTACTGTTTAAGAGCTGCTGTAAGGTAATGGCTCTTTCATCTGAATTTTTATCTTCAAGCATTAAACTTAATAGTTACTTTGGATGGAGTCATTCGCATTAGATTCAGTGAAATGAGGCCCTTATAACCTATAAAGATTAATACAGAGGAATTTGCATGACTATCAGGACTTGTTTTAACAATACTCTGAAGTTCAATTTGGACTAGAAACTTTGAATACTGCTTACTGGAAAGCAAAGACACCTAGGTTTGTATGTTATAAATAATACATTTATTCATAAACAATCTCCACAAGGAAATTTGCAGAATGTGCCATCTCACTCCTCCAAAAAAAAATCCACAAAAACAAAAGACAAAACAACAACAACAAACAAAACCACTATTTAAGACCATGAGAGACATTTATAATACTTAGAGTGCACTAGAACTACATAGGATTCGTTGTACTTATAAACTGATTGAATTTAAATTCTTTTGTACAACTGCTTAAAGATAATAATAATAAAAATATATAGGGTGTGTTAGTTCTTCCCAAGATAGTGAGAAGTCTGAAAAGTGAATAATAAACCATAACATTGGCCAATATGAAATTTCTGAACTATAAAACTAAGAAGTGTTGGTGATCCCATTGCTTTTCTATCACAAAAATTGTAAGTGCTTATTATTTACATGTTGGCTATTCTCCTTCTAATGAGGGTGTACCTTTATATAGTTTTCTAAAATGATAAATAATGCAAGAATGAAAAGGTAAAACCCCAACAGGGCCTTGTACATTATATTTCTGGGCTTGTAAATGTCCTATGATTCCACATACATGTGAGTCTACTGGAAGCTTTTCCAGGGTTAAGGAAGTATACTGACACATTTAAACACACCCATACACACACACACACACACACACACACACACACACACACACACACACATACACACACACACACACACAGAGCTCTGGTTTAAGAAATGGATGGACTACCCGGGTATTTAGGCTGAATTTTCCTAGTTCTCAGTTATGGTATCCCAAGGTGTTAAGAAGTCTTTGCATGCTAAGAGTGTTCTCAAATCCCTATGGATGATCCCCAGAGACTCCAAGGCATCCTGTGATGTTAAAAACAAAGCTCTATTAAGAAGCATATGGAAACTAATGCACAAGTATGCTTATATACTTATAAAAGCGCTCTCAAGAGACATGATACCATCTTTGCTTGTTGATTTGACATTTCTTCTCAAATTCATTCATTTGGCAGTGGTACTTTACATAGGAAAAGAGACATCTCTAGTTCCCCGACAGCCATAGTGCTCTGCAAGTTGAAATCACCACCCTGAAATATTCAGTTGCGTGTTCAGTGCTGAAGCTGATTAAAACAATGTCTCATCTGGTCAAATTTAGTAAAAAAAAAAATCAACAAACAAACTCTGCTCCTCACTTGTTCAATTGTCATCTTCCACTTATACTAAGCAACAACTCAAACAGCAGAGAAAAAAATGTCACTTTACTTGACACACACTCGCCTTTCTTTCCACTTGCTAGCAATCTGTGAATTCATGACAATATGTTTCATCCTCTGTGTGTAGCCCAAACTGTGATATCTCTGTGACAGTTTGGAGATGAAATCCATACTTTTGAAGGAGGAGGGCCATGCACAGGACCATCCCTGGGGTATGTGACAGCAAAGCTGTTTCTGTGAGAAGCCCATTTGCCCAGTACCTGGCATGCAGTGAATGGTTTAATTCTCCAGAGGAATGGAGGGATGTCGAGGACAGAGATCTGAAGACTGAAGGTATTCCCTTTGAAGTGCAGCAACTTTGGTTCTTCCAGTAGCTGTCCACCCTGATGTCTTTCATCAGAAACCACTTCCTGTAGGGGCAGAAAAACAGAAGAGGCATAACAACTGCACCTCCAAGCTTACTACACAGGTTTCCAGAAACACCAGACAGAGTAAGAGACATATACTTCTTTAATGTCTGGGACGATCAACTATTTTCCCATTCCACCACACACACTTTCTTTTTGCAATGCAAGGGTTTGAATTTAGGGCTTCCTGATTCATTTGCTCGTGTTCTACCACTTAAACCGTACCTGCAGAGCAGCTCTTTCCTGCTATCTTGGATACAGCAAAATTTGTCTACCTAGGTAGGCTTCAAACCTTGATCCTCTAGATTTCAGCCTCCTGAGTAGTCAGGAAGTAGTTAGAATGACAGGTGTCAGTCACTGGCACCCAGCTAAAACATCTATTCTTTATTATTTATGTCAAGCAGGCTTTTAAAACACACCTTATCTTTGTTTAAACTGAAAGGCTTCCTTGTCCTCAAGCAGATGCTAATACTGCTGAGTTGCCATGATCGTATAGATTTCCTTCTGAGATGAGCACAATCAAGGTAAGTATTTGTTAATAGCCTGAGATGTCACCATAGGTGACACTGAAATTAGACGCAGCCCTTTGCACTCTGTTCTAGTTTTCATTAACAAAGGGGTTATCTGATTATTATTGTTATTAATTATTGCTCAGAATAAATGTTCTAGAACGCACGTTTACTTGCAGTACATTTATAAAGTTATTACATCAAAAGGCCAAGGGGAAAAATAAGTTATTTATCAAGCTAGTTTTACTTCACAAATAAAAACAAATTTCTGAGGTGAATACTCCTGTATTTCTCTCTGAGAGAGCTTATAAAAATTCTATTGAGCAAACATTTAATTGGTTCTAAATTTGTGACGGCATTGTACTTGAGATATGACAGGACAAAGGAAATAATAGGACAAATACATGTTCTGTAAAAGATTGCATTACTGAGGAGTAAGGCTTTCTGTGTTACTGGAGATAGAAGATCTCCTTAAATTCACTTTAAAAATCACCATTAACTGTTTTACCATCTCCTTGAAGAAACAGGAAGAAAAATACAATGGACAACTTTTATGTAGCATAATCTTCCAAGATTCTACAAAAGCATATATGAAGTTAAGCAATATGTTTTATAGACAGCTGAATCACATTCAATTACTAAAACAAAAAGCAGCTTTATTTCTTTATCTCTTGTCTATCTATAATGACACATTTATTGTTTTAGTTGTACTTGAAGTACTGAGGATTAAATGGTTTCATGCATAGTAGGCAAATACTCAATACAGAGCCATATTCTAGACAAATTTGGTCAGGTTAGTCTAGAACTCATAATCTTCCTGCCTTAACCTTCCCAGTGCTGGGGATATTGCTATGCTCCATCATACTTGTTTTATCATGACGTTCTTGGAAACACTTCTATTCTTTATTCTTTACACTTTCAAAATATTGACAGGTTGCTAGTGTATTTTCTTAAGATGAAATGACTGGATTCCTATATCCTTTCCATCAGCTCTTTAGTCTTGTTTATAGGAAGAGTGTTCCTCAGGATCCTTAGGCCAGCAGTAAAGTTACTATAATGATGAAAACTTTCAATGTGGGAACTGCTAAGTATAGTGGCTGTTAAAAACCTAAAATGTGGCTAGAGTGACTTCTCAATTAATTCTTTTTATTTTAGTTAATTTAACTTTAAGCATGTGCATGTAGTTAGCAATTGCTATACTGGACAGGTAATTCACAATGTTACAGATTGCAGAGTTGGCATAAGAATATAGTAGCCACCCAAGAAAAGGACTGGATGGATTTAAAGCTGAATTCTACAAGGCCTTCAAAGCAGAACTCACACCAACTCTTCAATGAAATTGAAAGTGAAAGTTCACTACCGAACTCTTTCGATGAAGCCATCATAACCCTCATCCCAAAACCAGGCAGGGATGCATCAAAGAAAGAGAACTATAGACCCATTTCTTTGATGAAATTGGTGCAAAACTTCTCAATAAAATTTGGGCCAACTGACTTCAACAATTCATCCAAAAAAATCATACACCACTATCAAACAGGATTCATTTCAGGGATGCAAAGCTTGTTCAATATATGCAAATCAATTAATATAATTCATCACATCAACAAGAGCAAGGATAAGAACCACATGATTATCTCAATAGATGCAGAAAGAGCATTTGACAAGATCCAACACCCCTTTATGATGAAAGCTGTGGAAAAACTAGGAATCCATGCAACATTCCTCAATATAATAAAGGCTGTGTATGACAAACTTACAGCTAGCATTACAAAAAGCTAAAGCCATTTCCTCTAAATTCAGAAATGAGACAAGGATGTCCACTCTCTCCAATTCTCTTCAATTTAGTATATTAGACTGCCTAACTACAGCAATAAGACAAGATGCAAGTTTAAAGGGGAACTAAATGGGGAAAGATGAAGTAAAACTCTCCCTCTTTGCAGATAACATGATCTTGTATTTAAAGAACCAAAGGATTCCACTCCCAAGTTACTCAAGCTGATTTGAAACTTTGGCAAAGTAGCAGGGTATAAAATTAACCCTCAGAAATCAACGGGTTTCCTATATGCCAATAACGAAAAAAGTGTGGCTGAAGTCAGGGAAGAAACTCCTTTTGTAATAGTCTCACAAAAAATAAAATACCTAGGAGTTAACTAAAGAAGTGTAGGACCTCTATGATGAAAACTTAAAAAACCTGAAAAAAGAAATTAAAGCAGAACTATGGAAGTGGAAAAACCTCTCATGCTCCTGGATTGGGAGGATTAACATTGTTAAAAATGGCAATACTTCCCAAGGCTATCTACAAATTCAATGTGATACCTATCAATATCCCAACCTAATTCTTCAAGGAAATAGAAGAAGCAATCCAAAAATTTATATGGAACAATAAAAGACCCCACATAGCAAAAACAATCCTTAGCAGAAAGAACAGTGCTGGAGGATTATCAATACCAAACTTCAAACTCTACTTCAAAGCCATAGTAATCAAAACAGCTTGGTACTGGAATAAGAACAGACCTGAAGACCAATGGAATAGAACTGAAGATCCAGAAATGAAACCCACAGTCCTATAGCCACCTAACTTTCAACAAGGGAGCTAAAAAAATAGAATGGAAGAAAGACAGCCTCTTCAGTAAATGGTGCTGGCAAAATTGGTTAAGCACCTGTAGAAAACTAAAGCTAGATCCTTATATATCACCCTTTACCAGAATCAACTCCAAATGGATCAAAGACCTCAAAGTCAAAGCAGACACCCTGAAAACATTACAGGAAGAATAGGAGAAACTCTAGGGCTCCTTGGCACAGGCCGAACATTTCTTAATAGAGACCCAGAAACACAACAAGCAAAGGTTAGACAAATGGGATGGCATAAAACTGCAAAGCTTCTGCATGGCAAAAGACATAGCTATTGAGATCAATCGAAAGCCCATGGATTGAGAGAAGATCTTCACCAGCCATACAACAGACAAGGGCCTCATATCTAATTAACTCCCCCAACAACAACCTCAAAGAAACAACTGCCTGATTAATAAGTGGGCTAAAGACCTAAAGAGATACCTCTCTGAAATAAGAATGGCAAATAGAGACATGAAGAAATGCTCAACTTCTCTAGTCATAAAGGAAATGCAAACCTCAGTGCAGTTTGAATGGCTATAATCAAGAACTCTCATAACAACAGACGTTGGAGGGAATGTGGCCAAAAGGGAACCCTACTGCATTGTTGGTAGGGATCTAAGTTTGTTCAACCAGTTTGGAGCTTCCTCAAATGACTCCACATAGAGCTCCCCTATGACCCAGCAATCCCACTTTTAGGCATTTACCCAAACAATCACAAAAAAGGCTATACTAAAGCTACCAGCACAACTATGTTTATTGCAGCATTATGCACCATAGCTAAGATATGGAACCAACCCAGTTGCCTCTCAGTAGATGAATGGATCAAGAAAATGTGATACACACCTCCCCCCCACACACACACAAAATGGAATTCTATGCCTCCATCAGAAAGAATAACACTACCCCATTTGTTAGGAAAAGGAAAGACTTACGAAAAATTATACTAAGTGAAGTATGCCAGACCCAAAGAAACGTAAGTCCCATGGTCTCCCTTATGTGCAATAACTAGTATACTTCTAGGATAATCTTACCAGAGATGTAGAAAAGGTCAAAAGCTATGCACATATGATCATATAAGATGGTGCTAAGTGAAATGAACCCCAGAATAGGAACACAAGAGGTTTTATCTTTGTTGCTGCTGTTTTTAATGTACTTATAATGTACTATGTGATTTCTTTTGTTTCTTTCATATGTTCTTCTCCCATTGTATAACCACTGTTTTCACTCTATTCAATTCTAGTGCCTTCATCTTGTATATACATTTTTCTAATTTGGGGAGGAGAAGGGAAAAAACAAAATGCTGAAACAAGGATGCAGGTTGACCCATTGTAACAATGAAATGTACAAGACATTATGTTAAAAATGAACTTTATAACTTTAGGGGGGGTGAAGGGAGGGGTTGGGGAAGTGGGGAGGGTAGTGATGGTTGGGGAAAAACAAAGAAGAGGTAACAATGCTGGATAGGAAATATACTCATTATCTTACTCATGTAACTCGAACCCCTATTTATAGTATCTTTACAATAAAAATATATGTAAAATTTAAAAAAGAATATGGTAGCAATTATCTACTATGTGAAGAGAGGAAGGAAAGTAGGAGGGTCAGGGAAAAAAAGTCTTCTAAATGAACGCTAGCATGAGACAATAGGTCTTTTATGCATTGGATCACTGGTTTCACCTTTCAAGGTTAGTGAATGTCCCAATAAAGCTATATACACTGGGTGTATAGAAATGCCATAAACAAGCTCACAGTACATGGAACAGTTTCCATGTGATAATATGGTATCTCAGTATTAAGTTAAATGTAGCTTAGTAGGTAAAAAGAAGACAGAGGATGTCGCACAAAGATTAGCAAAGAGGTCAGGAAGAAGAGTAGAGGTGA